AATTGGGGTTTGGGGGCATTGAAATTGAGACTTGGGTGCTAAAATTGGGTTTTGGGGGCACCAAAATGTGGGTTTGGGTGCTAAAATTGGAGTTTTGGTTGCCAAAATTGGGGATTTGGGGGCTAAAATTGAGGATTTGGGTGTGAAAATTGGGGTTTGGGGCATCAAAATTGGGCGTTGGGTGCTAAAATTGGGGTTTGGGTGATAAAAATTGGGGTTTGAGCATCAAAATCAGTGTTTGGATGCTAAAAATGGGGCATTGGGGCATTAAAAATAGGATTTGGGGCCCAAAATTGGGGTTTGGGGAATCAAAATGGGAGTTTAGGCCATCGAAATGTGATTCTGGGCATCAAAAAATGGGTTTTTGGTATCAAAATGGGCGTTTGGGTCACCAAGATGGGGTTTTGGGGCGTCAAAATGGGTTCTTTAGGGCACCCAACCCATGGATCCCAATCAATTCCAATCCATTGATCCCAATCAATTCCAATCCCAACCCCAATCATGGATCCCAAATCCCAAATCCAATCCCAATCCATTGATCCAATCCCAACCCCAACCATGGATCCCAAATCCAATCCCAGTACATTGATCCCGATCCCAACCCATGAACCCAAATCCCAATTCCAATCCCAATCCATTGATCCCAACCCCAATCCCAATATCCCAATCCCATCCCATGAATCCCCATCCCAATTCCAACCCCAATCCCAACTCATTGATCCCAACCCCAATCCCAATTCCAACCCCCAATCCCAATCCATTGATCCCAATTCCAATCCCAATCCCAATTCCAATTATCCCAATCCCAATTATCCAAATCATTACAATCCCAATTATCCCAATCCTATTAACCCAATTATCCCCATCCCAATGATCCCAATCCCAGTTAATTATCCCAATGATCCCAATCCCAATTATCCCAATTATCCCAATCCTAATTATTCCAATTAACCCAATGATCCCAATCCCAATTATCCATCCCAATTATCCCAATTATCCCAATCCCAATTACCCCAATTAACCCAAATTATCCCAATGATCCCAATCCCAATTAATTATCCCAACTAATTATCCCAATAATCCCAATCCTACCTTTTTCTGCTCTCGCCCCGAGTGCCCTTTTTTCTTCAATTTTGGCGCCATTTCTGCCAAAAAAAAAAAA